TGGGCAATGACAAGTATATAATATTATTATGATGTTGGTTCCTAATCACAGACATAATACTATAATACTGTAGTAGTATGATTATTATATCTATGTTCCTAATAGATCTTCGTTTTAATATACTAGTTACTAGTATTAGTATATATCTGTGGTTTTAATTAATCCCTCGTCATTCAGTATCCACAGTCCACAGAGATATCGTCTCATGGGGCCTTACGCGGATAACAAAACCCAGATAACGAGACCACAAGCAAGACTGGTGATTATTAGTCGTACATAATATATTATGTTGTGCACATATTTTAACTTTATGGCTTATGTATTTATCTCTAAGCAAGTAAGACATACTACATGCTATAATTAAACGTAATGATACAACAAACATTAACAAATTACAGTGGAAGAATAATAACGATAAAAATATATATAGGCATATGGTATATGTGTTAATGTCCTATTGAATTGCATATAACCAGGGTTTACTGTACCTACTACACTACAACTAGGTACCTAATCAGTTTTCATTCATGATAAATAATATTATATTTCTTAATAAAATGGTAATTTCAGTAAACATGTTGACTAAAAAATTCATCATTTTCTTATGGTTCAATAATATTACAGATTTCAGTTATCGAATTATTTTTGAGCAAAGCGGGAAGTGAGAATCTTTCAGCCTTTCAAACAATTGGACTATTGGAGCAATTATATATTTTTCTTTCATTGCATCCACAACTTTGCAAATGTTAAAATTTCAAATAAAAATATTTAAAAAGACAACTGGCATATCAATTATAACTAAGAAGTTCAAATAAAATTCGAAAATCTTTACTTGTGTCTCATAATTTGTTCCAAAGTGCACTAACTACGTCGATTGCGAAATACCTAATTGTAAATACCTAAAATACCTTATACAGTTAAACTTCATAAATATATTAATATATAAACGCATCAATATCACTATAGGATTATGCATAAGGTATATTGTATACCTCCCCAGTACTTACCACTCGGCATTTTGTACCAAAAGAGAATGCGCAGTTGGTGGCTTATATAGTTATATCTATCTCGGCCGACATATCGACAATTTCTATAGGTAGGTATACAATCGTGTTATTCCACCACACTTAATTAATTATTGTGAAGTTATTCATAAGATTAAAATTTACACATGAATGATAATTTTAAAAGTTTAAACAAGCTACCAAATCTCGTCAGAAACTTAATCTCTCTCTTTCTCTCTCTCTCATTAGAGTGCACAATATTATAAATTATCAATAAAGTTATGCACAATAATAAGTCATGCACTCATGCCTGTATAGGTAATGACTAATTTGTAAAAACTAAAAAGTAATAACTTATTAGGTACTTAGAATAAATCAGTGTGCAACACTTTAGTTATATATACGGGTGACGGGTCTTGAAACCAACACTTCTGCTCGCATATTATACTACCTACTCTGCAGTCTGCGATCTCATTGAACATCGAAATTGAATGCCTTCATTAAAATAATAATTTTATTTATTCAATACATTATTAAGTCACATGACACATATTGTCACCACCAACATCATTCGATGGATAGTAGGTAGTCGTAGTAATATGTTTCACCGTATTATAATTAATTTGTTCGCATTTACCTCCAGTCTGTTCTGCCTGTCCACTGTATTTATGTACCTAGCCGTTATGTTTACACGAGTTCTCAAAGTGAGCTATAATATTATTATAAGTAGGTGTATAAATGTAATACCCACTATGCTTATTGTATCTGATAATTATTAATTTTGTTTGTTTTAAATAGTTACCGACGTATACAAGCTTTGGACCCCCTTTCAAAAAATCCCTGTTACGCACCTGTGTAGATCGCATAGGCACGCACTGCTATCAAAAATGTTAATGAATATATTTTTAAAATGAACTTAACTAAAATACCTGTGAACACAATATTTAATATTACAATGTTTACTTTTATGATTTTTTTTCTCAATTGTGAAGATTTTTTTCATGTTAACACAGAAATCGATCTTAATGATATTGTATTTACGTCGGTTTTTAGCATTTATTGTTTCCGTCTCCATTTTTTTTTTACATAAATATTATGTCAAGAATATTAAGAAGTGAAAAACTATAAAAATTAATCATTAATCATTACAATGTTTAATGTATGTACTGTAACCAATAAATTAACTATCATATATAATAATAATTATCTTAATCATTATATATGATTATTTTCATTACTGAACCAAAACGCATAGCCTAATGTTGCACACCAATTTAAAATATTTAAATGTAAGATCAGTTTTTTATACATTTTATCATATTGAAGTTTCGGTCAAAAACTTATTTCCCAGTTAATTTTTTTTTCAGTTTTTAAGAAATTTTAAATTAATAAGGTTTTTAAAAAAAATAATAAATAAAATTTACAAAATACTATAAGTATTTTTAAAATATAGTGATTTCAAATTGATAATGCTTAACAATAACATTTCTTTAAAAAAAATCATACATTGGCAGTATACTTTTTTGATAATTATTGAATATATTTTATTTATTTATAATAAAAACAATTGTTATCATTATCAAACTCTCATTATAGGTGTCCCTAAGGCTAAAGGGTATTGAGGGGTACTTTTGCCACTACAAAGAAAAATATACTATCTTAGAAAACTAACTTAATGGAATTTTAATAAGCATGGCCAAATTACAAATAATAAGGTTTGTATATTTGATAACTAAAGCAATAGTTTTAAGTAAAATAAAATAATTGAAACCAGTCCATGCTGTATTGAGCAGTTCTACATAAAATTTACAATGTTATTTAAATTTAAATTTAAAAAATAGAAATTAGTGTTTAAATATTGATAATATTGTAATGGTATATGAAATTAGCTGTATTTAAATATAGTATTAAGTATAGGATTATAGATATTAATGAGCAAAGCAAATAAACCAAATTTAATATTTTTGTAGATAATTATTTTTTGTTATCCTATAATTTTGACTCTGGTGACTCCCATGTTGGAGTAGTTACCTACAATAATAATTAGCATATTTAAATAATATTGTAGATAAGATGGAATCGGATAGAACAAATTGTAATTCATAAATATTATCATAACAATGAAGTAATAATAAAAAAATAATGAGTAAGTAAAATATACAGTAATCAATAAACAATAATATTATATTATACTTGTTTATTTCGATAATAGACAAGAAGTGTGGTTAACAAACTTCAAATTGTGCATTCATATTGAATACAAATTGTTTAATAAACATAATATGGGGCTTATTAATTTTTGTTTATATTGTAATAGTCAAGATATAATAATTTATATGTTAGAAATTAGAATCTCATTACAAAAAAAAAAGAAGAACATTAACATATTATTAAAACATGAATATGACTTTTTAATATGTTACAACCAGGGTCAGACAATTTGAAACTAACAAAATATTTTGTTAGTTAATTTCATAATATTGTTACCCTCAACCTATGCACCATAATAACTTAAGAATTTATGGTTCAACAAAAACAGACAATTTATTAATATTCATAATAGATATTATTTATTATTTTTTTTAATTTATAAACTTTTTTTAAAAGAAAATGTAATTATAATCTAGTTATTTTTTTGTGATTATTGTTCAAATGACAACTTTTGTTGTTAACAAACGTAAAACACATCAAATTTTAAAATAAGTACAAGTTAAACTTAATCTATTTTTGCGTGATGAACACAAAATAATTGAATATAAAATTCTTATCAAAATAAACAATTATTATCTTGATAAATATTATACAAATCCATATTGTTTATGTAAATTAATACTCTATTGGACACATTTTGTGTTCTAATAAGCAATACAATAAAAAGTAATATAATTAAGAATATTGACAATTATACCTCATACAATTGGTTTACATAATTAAAGCTATGGTACAATAATTTAGTTTCAAGTTGTAAATTTGATTCTCCCGGTGGGCATGTTTTAGTGCAAATAAAGATTTTAGTTAATTTTGTTATAAATTATGGCCACTATTATCAATTAGCAACATATGATACAATAATTGTAGTTACGAAACAAAAATTAAGTATAGATTAAAATCAATATTGACAATATACATATAATGATTGATTTGGAGGGATGCCAGAAAGAATAAAGTTGTCTTTAAATGTTCACAACATAAAGTTATCCAAGTTTATTAGTTGTATGCATAATATAAGAAATATAACAATTCCTGCTTATGATCAATTATAGTTCCTATCCTGTTATTTTCATAACTTAAGAAGTTATTTAAACTACACAATATTTCAATTGTTAAATTTAAACTGCTGATAATAACTTAGGAACTTTAAACAAGCTATTTATAACACAATACAATTAACTTGGAATAATTCAATAATATATAAAAAAAAGTAAAAGTATGACAATCTTATAATATCAAAAAAGTAATAGTATAAATGACAATAATCAGTCAAAGTACATTAAAATATAATATACTTTTCAGTATTAAAAAGAAAAAAGTATTATATATAATGATAAACAAAATAAATAATAGTATCTTAAATATTTAATGGAATAGTTACTTTAATATAATTACATAAATATTAAGAAATTATGTTCAAATAAAACTTGTAACCCAATACTTTGTAAGGTTTCATTATTCAAAAATAATCAGCTAAACATGTAATTTATTTTATTGTTGCAACTTTTCATTAATTGTTATTATATTATAAATATAACCTCACTCATTGTCAACCCTTATTAGTTATCTTATCAATGAGATCTAATTAGGAAAACAAATTATTAATTCAAATAATAATAATTAACTATAAACCTGTGAAACAATAAATGTATGTAATAATAATTCAATAATAACATTTAACATTAAACTACTAAAACACGTTTTACTCTTATATTCATAGTATATGTTTGTATTTAAAAGAGTACCAAAAATGAAACATAATTGTTTCCTTGTACATTTGGAATTTCAGCCTTGGTGGGATACTTCTTCTTCGCGTTGTTTTTTGATTGTAAGATTATTCATCAATCGTTGAATAGAAGTTCTTAATGTTTTTCTAGAATTTGGAGATTTTATAGAAGCTAACAGAGACAAAACTTTTGAAATTTCGGCAGGTTCCATCCGTGTAACAATTAAATCAATCAAGCGACGTATGACAATCAATAAAGGCATTTGACGAATATTCTCAAGCTGTTTTATTACCATTACAATTTTAGTAACACTGTTGATTGCCAAAACCACATTGATGTCATCTTCATAAATACAACACATTTTTGATGTCTAAAGATAAAATATTTAGTTAGTTTAATAAGAACAATTCAAACTAAAAAAAAAATGTACCGCATTACACTAATACAAAATTGCAAATTAGTCTCACAGTAAATGAAGTAATGTATATTAAAAGCATAACATAACCGGAAAATTAGAATGCTCGTAGAGTGAGCTTACTTAACTTGTTTGTTTAATAATAGTAAACGTGTATAAAAATGTTGTAAGTTATCATAAAGTTATTTAAATTGTAGAAGATGAGCTCATGCATTACATTTATAGATGCTATAGACATTAAATAAATAAATATTACTTACATTTACAGCATCTAAAAAGTTGACAATAGTATTTTCTACATAGGCCCACGCACATTGATTATCGTAAGGTTCATTTTGTACAGCAGTTTTTAAGTACACTATAATTCTCATTATAGAGTTCATCACACTTTCCAATAAGAAAAATGATGCATCTATCATGTTTGAAGGTTTTGCTGAACTTAAGTAATTTGCTATGAAACTTTTCATTTCATGCAATGTGAACTTTGGCATAAACTATAGTAACAAAAAAAACACATAAATAATATAAAAAATAAACATAATATATTATATTAATATAATATGTAATATACTAAACCCTGTAGGAAGACCTGACCAATTAAATAACTTTTGTTCTAATCAATATTTTTTTTAATATATAATTTATTGACATTTGCGCTATATGTATAATATAACATTTTTTATTTTTTAATAATAAACATTTTAAATCTGATTTAGTTTTTTAGAAAAATTCAAAATAACCTACTTGTAAATCTGGGTTTTAGAAAACTTTTGATTGTAAAAAACATTTACCTAAGTCAAGTTGTGATTTATATGCATTTTATTTTTTTAGAATATGTTAATATATAATAAAATATATAGTGAATTTACCAATAATTTCCAAATTATAAATATGTGAAAAAGAAGCATTTTCTAATTGTTAAGGGGATTGGAAGCAACGATTTTCTGTCTTTATCTAACACACGTGCAACATAGGATTATAGACGTGTTCTATTTCCAATGTACCGATTAATCTAATGAAGCGATAAGAATTCTGAAAACAGATTTGAATTTGTCGTCTACTTGAGATCGACTTTCCCACATTTTTGATTTTTTGATTTAAACTTCTCCAAAAATAGAAATATGTAAATTTTTTAATTACTATTTTTAATATATCGTTTTTATGATTTTGGTGGGACAATATCAAAAATGTGGGAAAGTCGATCTCAAGTAGACTTGACGACAAATTCAAGTCTGTTTTCAGAATTCTTATCGCTTCATTAGATTAATCGGTTCGTTGGAAATAGAACACGTCTATAATCTTATGTTGCACGTGTGTTAGATAAAGACAGAAAATCACCGCTTCCAATCCCCTTAAATATATACATAAAGTTGCTTTATATGTTAACTAAATCCAATTGATCTTACTTTTAAATAAATCGAAATCATTTTTAATATATTTTAAACATTTTTTGTCAGACAAAATCACCGATTTTATAAGATTGTAATATAATGTGACACCAAGCTTTTTACACACTATACTGTATTCAACTAAAAAGTTACTAGATGTATTATGATTTAAGTGTTAAAACTTAATAGAACTACAAGAATAACAATATTAATGGGTTAAATGTGTAAAAAACAGTTGCAGAACAAATTGAATAATTAACAACTTGGACAAACATGAAAGTAAAAAAATTTAGTCAATTTATGACAACATAGCATATTTTATCTTTATAATATTATGTTCAATATTAAACAATTTTCTACAGATAAAATATATCATACTAACACTGCTAATATCAGTGGTGTATTCAAATGTAATAAAAAATATCCATTTTATTATCTATTTTTTTTTTTTATAAAAGTGCCGTTTTTTTTTTATACAAATAGAAATATTTCTAAAATATGTCATTATTTAGGGCTTGCATTTGAAAAAAATTTGGTTTTATGTTATTTACAATTAAAACGTTACACAATCTTTGCGTTTATCATTATTTAGAATTTAGAGTTTATCGTTGTTTAAAATAGTGTTAATACCAATTAAGTTTAAAAATAATATATAATGCAGGTAGGTAATGGCTCGTATACGGAATATAGTATAATCAATTCTTAGAATATTTGCATGAAATAAATGTTTCTATAAACCTAATAGACCTTTTAAATAAATAAATTTTAAAATTTTTGTTTAGTGATATTCTATACATTATGTTTTGCGTTATGTTATGTTTTGTTTAATGATATATAATATTTTTTATTTATCAATATTTTATTTGCGGTATTCAATTATTTTTTATTATCGCTTTTCGTTATAATAACGTTTACAAATTTCAATAATTTTTTTTTGTCAAATATAACGTTTGCAGGCCCTAGATTATGTTTAAAATATTCTCCAATGTTTAAATATGCATTGTTACGAAAAATAAAATGTTTGTAAATATATTTTGTTGTTAAATAAAATGATGAGAAACCTCACTCAAATTATACTGCTTAGCCTCAGTAAAAAATATAAAAACATAAAAATCCGGTACCTACTATCAGATAGAAAATTTAATTTAAATAAAATATTTATTGGTAAGTTATTTTTGTCATCTAAAAATTAGAAACGATTAGATTAATTTTTGTACCAAAATATCTAAATTTAATCTTAATAATTTTCTAAAATAGTATACAATTATATTAACACATCATTTTAGTATTGTTTAGGTAGAAATCAAATTTGGATTTTTAAAAATTGAATTAATTGATCGATTGTTTTTAATTCAGTTATTATATTTCATAATAATTCAATACCCAACAGCTAATATAGTAAATTGTTAAAGAAAAAAAAATTACTGTTGCAATGCTGAAAATAAATTCTTCTTGAGCTCTTTGAGTAGATGATCTATTCAAATTAGAATATGAAATATGACTCTGTGATTGAATAGTCATGATCAAATGTTCATCCATTCCATCTATTGTAATATATTCAGATGTCCATAAACGTAAGAAATGAGAACGAGTCATTAAATGTAAACCTGATAATTCTTGTTTGATATTTTCCAAAGATTTTGCTTTAACTATGAAACATGTAATTTTTATTTTTATTATATAATAAAATATGTGGATGATTGAATCTTTAATTTAACATCTTCAAGATAATATTACATATAATATATGTATACATACCTTGATTATCTAAGTATGAAACATAGTGCAGAAGAGGCTGTATAGTTACGATCATCTTTTCACATATTTCGACTCTAACAGCTGAATAATTATTAATGCTCCAACGGGCATCATCCAGTATTTTAGCCAATTTAATAAGTAGTGTTTTCCAGAATACTATGTAAGGAGACGTCATAATATGACATTCATTCAAGATCATCTACAAAATGAGGTATTTTAAATAATTAATTTTTAACTTCAAAAAATAATGTACTTACTTTGGTTAACATGGCCAAAAAAAGCATATGATCATAATTTGGTGAAGGGTCTAGAAGAGGTAATAAGACATTTGAAAGAAATGCTTTTGGTTCCATTACAGGTAGATGTTTGGAAGTTCCTAAAATCTGTTTAAACAATAATTACAACTTAAATATATTGGGTATTGATGTACTTTTAAATATATTATGTGTGATTCAGGATAAGAATGAACTGCTCTGTAGAATAACCCACCGGACACCATCAGCCCTCTTGGGCAGCAGCTAGCTGTCAATAAACTGTATTGACTATTGACCAACAATTACTGGTCAATAGTCTATGATCAATAGTCTATCTTGCATAACCTTGAGGTGAGATGTGTCCATGGGTGAGGTCTACCATTATAACTAGTTTTAATCTACTGAGTGAGTGTCTCCAACTTATCCTGCACAGTGTATTTTAGCTAGCTAAAATAAAATAGACATACCCATTGACGAAGGTTTTGTTTTTGGTCTATTGGTAAATTTAAATGAAAAGACAACCAGTTCTTGTATTCTTGGTAAATATAAAAAGAATTCATGTGTTCATGCATAATAACCAACGCTTGGTGGCAACATGATCTCTTAGATTCGATTCCTTTGACTGGTAATCCACAAATACCGGTGACATATTGCGATATTAATAAGTTAAACATTTTTCTTGGTTGTTGAATAATAAGCCAAATCAACGTGGACAGTAATTCCTGTAAATTGTTAACATTTTATAAAACAATTCAAAAATGAAATTGGAATTTATTTAAATATAAATATTTATATTTTTCATCAACAATTTTGAAGGACTTACTTGTGGATCAATATTGTCGTTGTATTCATTATGTGCAACATACAGTAATAATTCATCAAAATCATTTGATACATAAAATATACAATCGGCATAGTGGCTTATAAAATATCTTAGAATACACAATGCATCTTCTAAATCCAAGTGTTTGAGTCCTTTAAATATTATGTTTCCCAAATCTTCGGACACGTCACCATCATTATGATAATAAGTCATAATACTGTCAATGATGCATTTGAAGCAGTTGTAATCAACACAGTCTATGTAGTTGCCAATTACTTGAATGGCACGGTTATGAACGAAAACACTTGGGTTTTCAATCATTTTTTTCACCCAAGCGTTGAGATGAAATTTGGAAGAACTCTCTACACGTTTAGCCATTCCATCAATGTCAGTGATATCAATATTACTAAAATCAATCTTTTCTATGGCTATATTACGTAGAATTGGCCTAAATTCTTTTAATAAGCGTTCATTAATAGTTCCATTATCTATTAAACTACACAATTCATAACACAGATGTCCAATAGCTGCTTGTAGATTTGTGTCTTCTTCAACAACTTCCACTTCATACCAAGCAATCCAAGTATCAATGCTGAAATTGCACATATCCATACACTTGTACATAATCACATCAAAACATTTTTTAAATATAACATGCCCAGTATCTGTTGATGGAATAGAAGAACGTAATGATGTTAATGTATACAGTGGATTCAGTCTATAAGTATCAGGAACACTTCTGTATTTAATCATTTCTATAAAGATCTTAAATATGCTTTTCACCCGAAATCCATTATATCTAGTTATTTCTTTTTGTTCATCTTCAAAATCAAGTCTTCTTATATCATGCGGCAAATTATCCTTGCCGAATACTAGCATGGCTTGATTGAAGTGGCCGATTACAGAATTTTCTGAATTAGATCTTATAGGCCCACGTTTAACAGATTTCATCAAAGAAACAACTAGATTTTCAGTATCAACTAACTGTGAAAGTCCATCCATAGCTTTTATTTTATTTAAGCTAATATCAATTAAATCGCTGCAAAAACTATAAGGAGTATACATTATGATTTCGGATATAAATGGCTTTAAATTCAATATATCCACGAGTTTACAGTATAGGTTATTTGAGAGGGTATTGCCATGAACATATTGTTTGAGGTTTAGCAATGGATCTTCTCTAACCCAATTACAATTTGTCATCTCAGTGTTTAAGTATAGAATAAAATGTATTAATCTTTGGCCATCTTCTGAGAATTTATAATTTTTTGAGTTTATGTTATCATCAACTAGCATTTGAATTTCTGATACACAAAGGTAGTCAAGTATACCTGAAAAAAAATACAATAGTTAATATATTAATAAATATTGAACACTACATATTCAATATTATGCAAGAATATACTATATTTACATTTTTTTTTATTTCTAAAAAATTACAAAATATTACGTATCTTCAGTTTTTATAGAATTTGTTAAGTAAACTCTGTACCAGGGGAGAACACATACCATAACATATCAAAACTCATTTATTTTAATGTATCCCCACTATGAAACATGAAGATCAGCCCCCATCGAAGCATTTTGGTTTTTAGTGACAGCTGTAAGCATATACCAGGTGCTTCTTGGTTTTGGTGGGAGGGGGAAGAGGGGGGAGCATTGAAACAGTAGAACACAGTTATTTGAAAATTCTATCTGTATGCGTTTTCTCTCGAGTTACAAGTATAGTTAATTTTATTTTTCTCTTGTTATAAATTTCAACCTTCAAAAATTTATATTTTTATACCAATTTAAAGTAACTTACCGTTACTATTGGATGGCTGTTACGTATTTAAGAAATAATATTAAAAATGAATTGAAACATGTTGACGCAGATAAAAATTGGCTATTTTGTTTATATAATTACTGCTTCTAGATAATGCAATTTTAGGATTAAAATAGTTATTATTCAAAGAAAAGATAATAACATTTAAGTGACGTACCATACGTGGTTTTCTTTATATAAAGTTGGAATGACCAACCCGCGGCCTGTGAGATTTATCACACATTTGCAAAAACATTTTATATTGTGCCCAAAAAATATTCCGGAATACCCTCACAACCCAGTGCTCGTATTATTATACATTATCGCAACAATAATAATAATTCTAATTATCTAATAATATAATCTAAAAACAACATATTATAGAATTCAGATATAGTGACCATCTTACAGAAAATTATATTGTTATAATAATATTTATACTATCTATGTTTATTAATCTTGAGTAATAATAGAAACAATAATAATTCATTCTGTTGTTTATTACAATTAATTTATAGACCAAAACTTTTTTTTTTCCAAATATATATAATATTATGACGTATAATTTAGTAAGCAGCCTGTGTGATTATAATGAATTTCCAAAGTGGCCAATAAGATCATTTGGGTTGGCCACCCCTGGTATAAAGTATACTTTTGTTATTCAATTTTTTAATTCTCTATAATATTATTTTTATTTTAAGTAATTGTAAGTTTTTATTAAAATAATATTTCAAAAATGCATGACTTTCATTTTCATTATATGAGGCATTTTATCTCTAAAATAAATTGCTTTAATAGCAGACACAGTTAACCATTAACTACCAAAAGTCGTAGGAAGACATCCTATTAAAACATAGATTTGTTAAAATCAACGATCATTGATCACCTTTTATTGGTTGAAAATGTTACATCTAGGTATATTACTGTACAGTGTACTGTACATAATGTCAAATGTATACTACCTATAATGTATCAAGTATTTTAATATCCAGAGTAATCATTAATTTCTGAATGAGTCAATAAAGTGATTTCACACTAACCAGTATAGTATCGTATTGCATATTATGTTAATTAATAATTGGTAATATACTAATACATTACCTACAACAGCTGAAACTTCAATACCATAAACTTTATAATAACATAATATGATCAGCTAGTGTGAGCACAACACAGTTCATGGGGGGTTAAGGTATCATTTTAAAATGTAATGATAATCCTTAAAACTTATAAATCAATCAATAATCATAAATTGATAAATAATGAATATCATATTTGTATACAACAAAAAATATAATTACATTTTTAACAGATTATACATCCTCACTTAATTCTTTTATATGACCTTAACATAATGTTATAACCTCAACATAACCATAGATAAGTAACGTTCAAAATCAAATTTAGAAAGCAAAACACATAAGTATTAAAATATACAAAATAAGATGATAACTATGGTTTGGATTTAAAAACAATGGTATTATTTTTGTTTTAAGACGATAGAAAGATTATTTGTATATTTGACATACAAATGTATTTAATTTAAAATTTCTAATAGAATGGAATAAACTGAACCTTTGTCCCACATAAATGCTTCTTTTGTACTTTCTCATATTTTGTGTTAAATTATCTCCTTAATACCTACAATATTTTGTACTTCTTTATTTTTTACAGTAAAAAATTGATAAGTATTAAAGTAAAGTAATAGTGTAAAGACGATGCATTTTCAAAATTGTGTTTAAAACAATATTCAAATGGTGTGTTATTATTGGTGATAGACATGTCAATAAAGTAATTAGTCAATGCTAATTTATAGAGTATTTTTCAAAATAGATAGAATCTTTATTACCTATTTTAGTGACTTTTAGTGACTTAGCTGGTTATGGACAGCTCCGAAGGATTTAGTGATAATTAAAGACCAGATTTATATTCTCTTAAAATACCGAAAATATGATGCTAATATTCTCTAAAAACCCTTCAAATATTCTCATTATATTCTCTCAAAAATTTAAAAAATATGCTAAAATATGCAAAAATAATCAAAAAACATCATTATATGCTTTAATATGCATTTATTTTTTAAAATTTTTTTCAACTATATTTTATAGTGAGATATTAATTTGGTATTAAGAGTTGCGTATTATACCTAATGGAATAGTATTGCATTTTAGCAAGAGTAGGAAGTTGGAATATAATATAAATATAACAGTATAATATTAAAACACAAAAACAAAATTTTGATATTTGAATATTTGATAAACTTATAAGTTGATCTTATCAGTAGATATACATAGATAAACCTTGATAATACTGCTTGTTTTATTTTTATCAAAATGAAAAAAAAAAAATAAATTGTAAATGGTCAAAAAATTTTTTTCAGAGTACCGTAATATTAAAATTAAAAATAAATACAAATTTTTGCTCACAATTTACAAAATATTCCAAAATATGCTAAATGGGTTAAATATTCTCCAACCCATGAAATATTCTCAAATATGCAAAAAAAACTTTTTTCTACGCATTCAGAATTGAACGAATCGTCCACATTTTTTATTCTCATAAGACTGCATAGACCCAGTAACGATATGTAAAAACATATAAATCCGGTCTTTAGTGATAATCATATATTCACACAGTAAAAAAATGATGTAGGTTCATACTTTACTGGTGGATAATATACCAGCATAATATATTATGCCAACTATTGTTAATATTAAATTAAGTACATTCGATGCATAGCCTGACTACAAAAAACCAGCAAACAATAGTTAAACATAGTACACGAGTAAACATATAGTAATTACATAGGCGTGTCTACGGTGGCAGCCTAGGGTGCCTGGGCTGCCCCTGCCATTTTTGAAAGGTGCCGGTCAACCGAGTTTTAAGTCAGAAGGGTTACAACATTTATTTTTTTTATAAAAACTTGATTTTTTTGTGGGGATCGTTATAATTACCATTTACTTACAAAGATTGATTTCCTGAGTCCTGACTTCCGAAATCGGAAAAACCTACTATGATACCTACTATACAGACGACGACAGTACAGTATGCATCTAAGTATTATTGATATTATTGTTGTATTATTTTTGATTTGTAGCTAGGTGGTGTAATCCAAGGCTGTAGATGAATAATATTTCTGAAGTTACTGTAGATTATTATTGTAAAATGAAAATAGATAATTTAGACTTCTTTTTTAATTATATAAATATTTCATTGTGGAGGCCGGAGGGGGGCTTGAAAAAATACGGCTTTGGGTGTATAGGACTTTTTCAGTTCACTAATAAGGTAGCGCCGGTTATTAGCTATAGGCTACCCCTGCCGATGAAGTCTAGTCACGCCTATGAGTAATTATAAGACAGAAATAGTAAAGCCAGTAAAGGCGCAAATTCAGTGGCGTCCGCAGGGGGGGGGGGGGGCTAAAGGGCTGAAGCCCCCCCCCATTGCCGGTATTATTGTTACTTTTTCAAAAAAATATTAATCAAGTTAAACTGTCAACTATAGACTATAGTAAGCCAGAAGTAAATTTCATATATGTCTTACCAGAATGAATTCATTTTTGAAAGAACATTGTATTTGCATACCAATTTTCATATTTTATCTGTAAGTTTTAGGTAAAAGTAAGAACTACTTGTATGAAAGACCTTGTATTAAATTGTCTAGCCTTAGCTATATATATTTTATAAGTTTTGAACTACAAATTAACTGTCATTTTGACGAAATTTGAACTTTAAATGCTTATAAAAAATAACCATGGTGCCTAAGTAGTGTTTGAAGTATGAAATATCAAATATTTCACAAAAACGTGACACATTGAAATTTTGTTACACAAATAAAAACACAATTTATTTATTTTTTTAACACAATGTTCAGTGTTCTAAATTCTAATGACAAAATTCAGTATTTATACAAAATACATGTATAATATTGTATACCTACTTGTATCATTTAAACATTAAAATATTTAAAAATTTTGAATACCATTTTAAATGTATAATACCAAAGGTTAGGTATACATACAGGTACCATATAGTTATGAAGGTAATTTATGACAATTATATGTAAATATAAAACTTATTTAAAAATAAAACAAAATATATCAAAATACCTACTGAAATATTTCATTTTTTTAAATTTCATGAAATTTTCAAACACTATGCATATGTATTATGTATCGTTAATATTTTAGCTATAATAAAATAACTTATGTTTTACATTTTTAAGGTTTTTAACTGGATAAATAATTTTTTATTGACATTTATATAGAAAAAAAAATTTAATTATTCAAATACAATCCAAGTGAAGACGGTATAACCAAACATTTAAATAAATTTTCATTTTTTTTTCTCCAATTATTTTTAAAAGCACTGAGAATTTTCAATTTCGACCACCTAAAAGTACCAACTAGATGCTTATGATCAGAGCATTTTTTCTACCAGAAAATTTGAAAAGTTACAAACATTTTAAAATACCTCAAATAAACGTCTGAAATTATTAGACTGGACAAAATAAAATAAAAATGTAACTAATTTTAAAGCCCCCCCCCCCATTGAAAAATCCTGCGGACGCCACTGGGCGCAATTATATTAAACCAGATGGTGCACTTCTACATTTACTGTCTGTGGTAAAGGTAAATGTGTATTATATAATATGTAGGTATTCTAAATTCCAAAATGCATTATTTATGGGATGATGGCAGTTGTTTCGTTTCTGAAAATCGAATCGGAGGAATATTGAGATTAATAAAGTGTTATTGATGGACATAATTTGAACGAAATTCATTTCAAAAACAATTTCAGTAAGATTTCGTACCTACTGATCACGAGTGCATTCATGTTCAAATCGAAATGGCACGGTCGACGGGTATAAAAGATCAATGTTGGCATTACTCAAAGATTTTACCTCACGTACCTACCTCCTAAGTATACACATAATAATAATAATAGTAATAAATATAATAATGGTAATAATTATAATGATAAAATAATAAATTAATAACAGAAATCATAATAATCATAATAATAATAATAATATAAGTAATATAATATGTACCAGCCGGTAATTTCACGTCGATGCGCTTGTTTATATCGTCCAGTAGGCCAAAAATGAAACGGACGGCTTCGGTGGATTCCATATCGTCTGTTGCCGGTTTATTATCGACGTCCATAGCTCATAAGCCTACGCAACTGGCGCGAGTTCGCAAAAGCAGATGGGACAAGGAAAATATTAAACGAAAAAAAAATGAAAGGTAACAAAAATGGGATTTGCTATTGAGCAACACTCGAATGGCGTACAGTCGTACAGACGCGGTAACGGATGGACGAAGAAAACACAACAGTCGCTTGGGTAGTTGGGTATTATGGCGCCTTCTGTTATGGTATTATTATTATTATTATCATTTATCATTATCATCATCGCCTCTACAACAGCGGCGGTGACGGTAGTCGATCATTATTCCGAGAAAAGCGTCGAAAGATGAGGAGGTCCCACTATCGCATGCTAGTGCGGTGCGCGCATGCTCAGTTTAAAGTTTTAAGACGCAATATTATATTGTATCGTTTTCGTGTCATCGTGTGATAAAACCATTCCACGACACTTGAGCCGCCGCCGTCGAGCAGCTGCTAAAATATTTTATTATCATTCATCACGAAAATTCGATATCGACATTCTATAATATTTCTACACTGTAGCAGTGCCGCCGCCTCTATTAACGTATTACAGAATATTACACATACTAGGTATACATATTGAAATATAGAATATAGAATATAGAAATATAATATTATTTATTAGGTATGAAAATTAAAAATGTTCGGTTCATAATATTTAAATATTTTCATCATTTCATACTACTACTACCACTATACGATATAATATAATATTATTATTAAATTCGATATCTCTGGGCACCTCTGACCCGTAAAATAGGAGATTATTATAATAATTCTAATCGGACCATCAGAAATCAGAATAATATTATACTGATAGGTACGATGCAGATAGTACTCGTTTTTTTAAACAGTGGCATAATTAGGAATCTGTCTTAGGGAGGGGGGCAGACATTTTTTTACACACAAAATTAAATACTAAATAAATATAATAAATACTAAAGTACCTACAGGCTACAGTAGCTCGGAATAGGTATTACATTTTGCTTTAAAATTCTACACAATTTAGTAACCATATAACAATAAAATAATATATTTGGCATAAATTTTGAATTCACTTTAGTTACCCAGCATATTTTTCCTTTTTTTTTTTTTTGAAACATGTATTTCAACTAGTTAATAACAATCATGAAAAAAAAAATTTGCCGAAATCATAATTTTAAAAGTTATATCCTTCCAAAATTTACGATTTTACGTTTACACTCATGCGCTCAAGTGCACAAAACAGTACCTACCTACAACTGTCGTTCGCAGCGCCTATAACGAATTTCATTATTTTATTAAGTATGTAGACATATAGATAAGCATGTTGAAAACGATAGTGAAGTCAGAAGTTGGCTGTCAGACATGGTTTTGAAGTTTTGGCTATTTGAAGTCCGAGACCCATCCAAGGTGGTTTTACATAACAATTCGAAGCATGTTTTCAATTTCAATTCACCGAGCGAGCGAGTAACCACGCCGCGTGTATATGAAATTACTATATGTTTCAATTAGCTACAACTTTATAACTAAGTCTGACCTCCAAATTCTGACTTTACCGTCGTTTTCGCATGCTTAACATAGGCATGTTAAAATAAGATAGTCATAGCAGTACTGATTACGGTGCGTGTAAATAAATAATATTTTTAATAAGTAAGAAATTTGTTTATTATTTTTAAATATCCTAATTTATAATGTGTTTTGGAAAGAAGATGACTATCTGATTGTGCAAATAGTACATTTGTTGAGTCAAAAAGGTTGAAAATATTAAACAAGGCTCCTAATATATTGTTACAACTTACAATGGCAGTTTAAATATGAACGTTTGAAGTTCAAATTTTTTCAACATTGGATAGGTTAGGTTTGCCTATTGTAAAGAATACTTTTATTAAGTATTCGGAATACGTATTCAAATAAATGAGCATTATAGCATTCCAAATATATTTAAAATAATATATTCTGAATACATATTCGAATACACAAAGAAGTATTCTAATACTATTAGAATATATTTTTTTAACGTGGGTCAATCATATGTCATTCAAGGGGAAGATTATTGTTAATAACTAATAATGTACTCAATATTTAATATTAAAATTTGCTTTGTCACAAATATAAACTATTTTACAAGTTCAAAAAAAGTATTCAGAATTCGTATTTGAATAATTTTTTCAAAAAGTATTTAAAATATTATTTGAATAAAAAAAAGTATTTCAATACTTTTATTTGAATACATTTATTCGAATACTGTACAAGACTGAAAATCGCCGATGCCTGAGCAGAGATAATGTTCTTACCTAAATGTTTGATAATAGGTCAATAATTCACTATAATATCAAAACTAATATGCATATACTCATATGACATGATCATTTTTGGACTATGTCTATATTGTATGAGTAGTACCTATATTAACATTAGTGTGTGTTGTCTAAATATTACTCCTTAAAACATTGTACGCCGAGTTCGTAATTATTTAAAACTCATCTATCCTATCAACGACACTTCCTGTACGAGGGCAAACTATACAATTCTAATAAATAATAATATAACAATATAATATATTGTAGGTACCCATTTCATGAGACTTGTAAGTAGCAGTGGGCAGTAGGCCAATAATCCACACTAAAAATTAAATCGTACTATAATTTTGTGGATTACTTACCTGTCCTACCTATCATATTAATTATTATCATAATAATATTATATTCATGCCAATTCATCTCGCTTTCAAAATGCACAATGCACTTCTCCCCATCAATTTCCCTAGGATTGTACCCATATTTGTATTATTCATCATATTCTTATAAATTTATATTAAAATGACAATTTTATAGACAGTGATGACACAGCTACACAATTCATTAAGAGGACGCCACACCCGCATGTGTTGTCTCCGTCTTACAAACGCGTAACATAGCAAATTACGTCCACGGAAAACAAACGAATCGGCATCAAAAAGTGGTTTTAGAGTAAAAATACCTATAATAAAACTTAAAGAGAACAATATTTTGGAGGGAACCTCATCGGCGTTTTTAAAAATATTAACTATTAAAAAAGTTGTGGTTATTTAAAAAAATTAAAAAAAAGAGTTTTTGTGCCTTCAATATCTAGCTGTGTATTTAGATTAATACAAAACCCCGATGAGGTTCCCTCCGAAATATTGTTCTCTTTAGGTTTTATTATAGGTATTTTTACTCTAAAACCACTTTTTGATGCCGATTCGTTTGTTTTCCGTGGACGTAATTTGCTATGTTACGCGTTTGTAAGACGGAGACAACACATGCGGGTGTGGCGTCCTCTTAAGGCGCACACACACGAGCGAACAAAAATGGCGAATTCACACGTACGTTCATGTGTGACCTATCATGCGAGAGTGTAGACGACGTTGACGAGAATTCGGGAGTTTTCGTCAGAGTTCGCCGAATAGACTCGCAGTCGCATTACACTTACTGTTCTATGATTACACTTAGTGTGCCACTGTGCCCTGGTTAAACAATATTTGTACGCCCCCCCCCCAAATAATGATTAAAAAAAATACCTGTTTTTTTTTTGTTTAGTTATATCATAGAACAATTGTTTTTTAATTGTTTATTTATGAAAATGTTGTTAAAAACACAGATAATGATAATACATTATTTTATTTATTATCATAATGTATAACAACGCATATTATACAATTGTAAGCTATAAAAAAAATGACAAAAATGAATAGTTATCATTGATTGTCAAAATGAGTAACTGACGCCATAATATTACCGTATCATAGTCATGCAATGCAAAATATCCAAGTAGGTACTCAAACAAATTCTTAACAAAAATAAAATGCTATTTATATAATATTACACTGGTGCCTCGCGCCGCCCTAAATTAATCAAAAATTGACTGCACGAGTCAAATGTCCCTGTTTTCCCTCCCTTAAATACGACCCACCTCGCATGACGAGCCGATCATTGTCGGAATTTCAGTCATGCTCAGAGGATTACTGCGCGACTCACAAAATATATTATTTTATATCGCCTCTCGTGTAGACGTGCGTTGTGCGTATGCGCCTTAAAGTATGTATAGCTATAGCAGCTATATAGCCTGCTGCTGCTGTGTGGCTCAGCCTGCACTCTGCACTCTGGTACTGCCGTCTGCCGTACTGGTATAACAATCCAAATTCAATGGCCCCCGTACGCCGCTCACCTAGCATCGAACGCGGACACAACTTCAAACCGGTTGACTGGGCCGATAGTCAGATTTCTGTGTCCAACATATGCTCGGTGCCGCGGGGCCAGTATTGACTTACGCACGAGCAGGCGCTCGCCCCCACTCTGTACACGGACGACAGCAGCGCCCATAATATCGTAATCGGCGTACACATTCCGTATTCCTGTGATTCCGAGCGTTTGTCGTGTACTCTTCCCACGTCGTCCATCATTCGTTTCGCCGACGTCCGTTCTGCAAGCACGCACCGCCCGCCAGACAGAATTTTCTCGTCGATTTTCACGAGTTTCGTCGCAACAAAAACAGCAGGTAAATATTTTTTATCCGAGTTATCGATCCGGCGAATATGTTATTCGGCGTTTCGCACGGCCCCGACCTCCGTGGTGGCCGCCCGACTCGCATGCATGTTTTTCCGTCGTTGTTACGCAATCGGTCCGGCGAAAACGCCGACATATTTCGTTGTGCACGTTTTAGGTTAGGTGTACGCTTCATTGCCTCGGGCTGTTGCGATAATAATTGTCATTATATTTATAATATTATTATAATGTATGCGTATTGCGCCACTTGGCTCTGGAATTCTCTCGTAATTCGTATATAGGCATAATTTCTGCTATCAGTTTGTTTTATGTTTTACGCATCAGGTTCCGCCGCACATAAATCTATCACTCGTTTCCGTATGCAAATCAACTTTTGTAACCTCTTTTCGCTTATGTAAACGTAATATTGTGCAATAATAATTATGCGTTTCTGCGAATCTAATGTATTAAAATATCGTAGGAAACCCCAGTCCATTTGGTTTTTAAATTTTTTCATTCCCCTCCAATAAGTTATATAATTATAAATAATAATATAATAATATTAAATAATAATCTTATAGTACAAATTATAATTATTGTTGATATTATAGTCATTATTCACTATGGCTCTGCATTATTCACTTGGGCTCACTCCAGTTATTATTATTAAATACATTATAATTAACGGTCAACTGACAATAATATGACATTTGTATTAAGTTTAACATGTAATCAAATTAATCATACTTCACTAAACCAAGATAATGTTTTTGAGTATTGACATAGTACCTAAATAACATATTATAATATTGAAATTATCAAATTAAAAAAACACCGAACCATAAGTGTTATTTTATATTTATTTAAATAATTAATTACTTTTGCAATCAAAATGTAAATAGGTACTTATGTTACAAATCATTTTTATTTGATTAATATTGTGAAGTACATATTGTAGGTACATATCATTATGCACATAATATATCTACTGTAGGTTTCTATCTACTTGATTTAAAAATAATAATTTTTTTTTTTGTTAACATGAAACTGAAATTTAATTTTTATGCTGATCATATATTGCTGATAGTTAAATTATCTTAGGTTACCTAAATAATATAGCTACTTATAATATCTACTTAAATATAAAATTTGTTGCACATTAAGTGTTTTAATAAATTATTTAGTTTTATTTGTATTAATAACATTTAGGTTATTTGAATAACAAAGAGTAATTATAATCATAAAATATGCAACAATCATAATATTTTGTAATCAGTGCTGCTTATAAACATTTTCAGAAGAATTGTAATTAAAATATAGATTAATGACACCATAATCTACAATCTTAGTATAGTATAGGTATATAAATTATTATTTAGTTGTGATAATTAAGAAGAATATTATTAGTATTAGGTAGTAAAACTATAATATAATAGGCAGGTATCTAACTAGGATAAATAATTTAATCAACATTATTTATTTTTCGAACATTTTGGGTATAGTTACCTATTATGATTTTATATCATTAATTAGTAATCTATCAGCAATTTAACAAGTTTATAAACTTAAAAAAAATAAAAAATATTATATAATATCTTTAATTTTTTTCATTTGTGATATCACAGTATTATAACATGCCTAGGAGAGGTAGATGAGGTGGTAATGTAAATCGACAAGCTTATAACCAAAGAGTATAGCATATCAAAAACGTAATGAGCAGTTCTTAAAGACACTGAATAAATTACAAAAACCAAATAATAAACAGGTACCTATATAAAAATTTGATTGACTAGCTGCCTTATCGCTCCACCTGACTTTTGTCCACGGACACACCTTGTATAAATTTATCGTACCTGCCTCAATAACATTTTTTGTCATTTGTTTGCATGTATACTTGGAAGTACTTACAATATTATAATATATATTATATTTTCTTAAAATTATGGATATATAGGGTATAGTCATGGAAAGGTTAGGCTAACCCATTGTAAATATTAGCTATATCACATTATCACTATTCACTTGTGTTATATTTTAGTATAGCTGAAAACATGTAATATTTAGGGACTGCTCTATTTATTAGTTTAAAGTCTTGTGTTTTACCTGATATTATGATTACCAATATACTTACAATATAAAAGAAAATATTTTATTTTTACAACATATTCTTTATTTTTAAATATTAATAATTTTTTTTTCTATAGAAAAATGGTTTTAGTACTTGAACAACCGGCTCCAAAATTCAAGGGCACTGCTGTCGTCAATGGAGAGTTTAAAGACATTTCATTAGAATCATTCAAAGGAAAATATGTTGTTTTATTTTTCTACCCATTGGACTTGTAATATATATTTTATTTTCTATTTTTTTTTTAAATGTATAATATTAAATTTGTTTTTTATTTTTAGTACTTTTGTGTGCCCAACTGAAATTATTGCATTCTCTGATCGGGCTAATGAATTTGCGGCTATCAATTGTCAGTTAATCGCAGCCTCATGCGATAGCCACTTCAGTCATTTGGCTTGGGTAAACACAGCTCGTAATGAAGGTGGTTTAGGAAAAATGCAAATTCCTTTGTTAGCTGATAAGTCTGCTTCTATTGCCAAGGACTACCAAGTTTATAATGAAGCCACTGGGATACCATACCGTGGTTTGTTTATCATCGATGATAAAGGAAACTTGAGACAAATTACTATCAATGATTTGCCAGTTGGACGGTCTGTCGACGAAACTCTACGTCTTGTTCAAGCATTCCAATTCACTGATGAACATGGAGAAGGTATGTCTGATTATAAATCTTAGATTTTTAGGAACTTAACATTTATTTAATTTTTATTTTAGTTTGCCCAGCTAATTGGAAACCCGGTAGCAAGACCATTAACCCATCAAAATCCAAGGACTACTTCAAAACTGTTGAATAAATATCATAACATCTAAACGTTATGTTTCTTTTTGCTAATGAATTATTTTTATAATTATCTTATTTAAAATAATTTGTTTAGATGACAAAAAGTTAAATTTTTGGGAATAAGGTAATACATTTTTTTTTTAAATCAACTAGCAGTTCCATAATTAATGCATAAGTAATAACAATTTTTTTATCCAGATTATTATTTATTGCCATATTATAAATCCAGTTTAATTTAAAAATTACTTTAGTTATAAATTAAATAAAAGATTTTCCGTTATATTGTGTATTTTATTTGGAATTAATATTAGTTATGCTTTCCTATTATATTTGAGGGAAGCATTTATAATATACTCTGTACAAAATAAGAAACGCAAACGGCGGTTACCTGTTTTGGTCGGCGGAAGTCAAGTAATACCCGTTTGTCCCCCTCCCCACGAAGTCACCAATCTATATACTTGCCGTGTAGTGTTGCCTCGACACGGCTCACAAGTTGGCTACCGTTTGCAATTCTTATTTTAAACAGAGTATATAAGTATTACTTGTATAATTGTATGCACCATACTAAATTGGTTGTTACGTGTTATTTACATCATTTGAATCATTACAAATGTTGTCATTTACAAGAATAATAAACCCACAAAACACAATTTGATAAAAAAAAGTGATATTGAGTGAAATAGATTTATGGGTGTGTTATGATCATGGTAATACTATTTTGTTGTAAAAATCTTCATCCAGGTAGTACTAAGTAAAATCATTTTTCTACAGTTTTGAAATTAAACCTGATATATATTATTGACTTAAAAAAATTATTTAAAATTTAGTTTTTTGGTATTGTATTAGTTGTGACATTATATACACTGACGACTTTCAAAAAGGTTGGGCTATTAGCGCCTGTACGTTGAACATTTACTAATATGTTTGTTTTATTTTAACGATTTTGTTTTGAGGGTGTCTGTGCTGGTTTTTTCAATTTTATGAAATTCTTTACAATTTGAAAATCATATTTTATATTTTATTATTACCTTAATTATAATACTTTTCCACTAATCTACAGCTCGATACCTATTTGGGTGGGTTGATACGGTGTATTATATCAACAAAAATGGCTTAACAGGAAAAACTCTCATGGCCTGTAAAATATTTGGATTTTGTTCGTTTATTTTTTATTTAAAAGGAGAACATTTTTCATGTCAGATCAAAGGCCGAATTTACATTTTACTTTACACAGTGATAGAAAAAAACATTATAAAAAGAACAAATATTATGCATTATTCAAATGAATATTTTAGATTCTATAATAATTATGACTTTTAAAATCGGGCATTGATCCGACCATCAAAATATTTTCTTCTTTGAAATGAAAAAAAATTAACGAAATCCTACTATTCTACAGGGCGTCAGTGTTTCCTGTAAGACCTGTTTTTGTATTAAAAAACGCACCTGCTCTGATGCCCTTAGAAAATAATAATCGTGAACACTGAAGAGTGGTTTTAAGTGTGAGAAATATGTTATGTAATGCTCGCTTAAGTCATTTTAACTCAATATTTTTCCATTAAACCTCGAGAAAACGTCGTTGCGGTGATCAATCAAATCAATCACTAGTCAGTGAAAACTGGTAAGGCGTTAATAATTTATATAATAATAATAAGGTCCCGGGGATACTAAATTCGGTGATTCGCGCAGGTAATGTTCACACGAAGTCTGAGCCTCTGAGCACGCACGCAAACAAAACAGCATAGCCCAAAGCCCGAATATCTTGGTGTGATATTTTATCACGGATTTTTGCGGTGTACAACAACAGAATTATAACCTCTCCGCCTCGACGAACGTTAACGTCGTTAACCACCTCTCCAACCTCCTCCTCATCCTCCTACTTTATGACGGACAATAATTTGTGTAATCGCTATAATCATCGTTGCCGCCGAGAAATAAAAAAAATAGTCTTATTATTCCGTGTGGTCCAAGGCCAAGTAGACACTGTAGAGCTTAGGTTGCTGCTGCCACAGAAATACAGAATAAATTAATATTATGTAATTGTTGAAGAATATTAAGGAATCATGAAATATATTATCCATACCATGGTTGATTGTTGTAGTTACCGCAGTCAACAACAATTTTGTTGTTGATTTCCTACAACTCGTGATAAAAGTAAAAATTTTTTTTATCATTGTTGTGGGCACTTAACAGTTCTTTGGGCAAGCAAGCCGGCGGCGGCCGCCCTTGATCGGGCATACTTGTTACTGTTATCATAGCGCGTGAATGCGTGATTAACATTTTTTTTATTCTCCTTTTTATCATTCTAAACGAGGTTTTGAAATTTGAATAAGCGCTGGTGCTTATTGTTTACAACAAGTAGGTATAGTACTCATACTTACGTCAAGTCTATTTCCACATGGTAAAGGTCATTTCTATTGGAATCCAAGGGAGTCGGACCAACGAGACGAATCGACGACGTCGCCGCCGCACGGTAATAAACGAGATTTATATTTATTATTCGATTTCGGTTATGGTTTTACAGTCTAAAGAATAATTATTCACAGACAAAACTCCCTTTACTGTAGTAGTTATGTCCTGCTTTCGTCAAAGCTGTTGTTGCTATTTTCTTTTTGTCCGATGTGTTTGCAATTTTTGATGATCCGAACGCGTCAAAAATAATGATCAGGCTAACGATATGCTACCCAAACACATGTACTTGTGAATTTTCAGAAATGGTTCAAAATTTGTTTTGACTATCATGTTATTAGAGTCATGAATCCAACAATTGCAAAAGAAAATGATTGGACACGTTAAATGTTATACTTGTTGAATATCTGTATATCTAGCTACATATTTAAATAATACAATTTCGACAAAATAATTGAGTACCAAGTCCACAATATGATCTACCTTAGACTGCAAAATAATTTCTGGGTATATTTCTGCTTTACCGGGCACCCTATTTTTAAACTTATGTAGTTAAGTACACTGTGAACGATGGTGAAGTCGGAATTAGTTTTGAAGTTATGGCCTAATGAAGTTCACAATTTCTCGATTTTTACGCATTCGCGCATCATACTAGTTTACTACGACTATTTCGAATATTGATATTTATTTTTTTTGATGAGTGATTTCCAAGTGTACTATGTGACCTACTTGAGGAGGTGTCAAGGCAAGTCTATTGATATTTTAGATTATCGGAGCGAAGCGACAGTGCTGAGTGTTGCAAAACGTGTATTCACTGCCCATAGTGCGACATAACCATGCAGGCAATAAACGTACTTTAAAAACAATATTTTTGAAAACCTAAGTTCACCCAAGGTGAATACGTGAAAATCGCAAAATTGTGAACTTCATTAGGCCATAATTTCAAAACTAAGTCCATGCTCCAAATTCCGACTTCACTATTGTTTTCAGCTTACTTAACTGCATAAGTTTAAAAAAAATTGCAAAAAAAAAGGGTGCCCGGTAAAGTAGAAGAGTTCCAATTTCTGAATGTATTCTTTGTTTAATAATTCTCTGAGTAATTCTGTATGAATTACCAATAAGCTATGGCCGATGACTAGGTAAAGCTAGGTTTACAAGTTAATGCTAGGATTTACTAATCTTACTCAGTTTAAACTGAAAAGCATAATTGTATTCGAGGTCTTAACAAATGAGTTGTGACCTAGTATGTAGGAAAATAAATCATGACAGAAAAATCTGATTGATCCATAGTAGAAAATGAATATGCTTTTTTACTAATAATTAAAAATTATAAACCAAGTTATTCACTAAATTTAATTATACATTGTTAAAAAGATTACTGAAATATAAAATCAATTGACCTGTTTTTTGCCTATGACACCTTCACAAATGTTACATACCTAACTGGCATTGATTTCTTTTATTGTTATATTGTTATTTTCAATTGCAAATGTATGCATTGTTTCTGAGCACAATATGAGTGTTTCTTTCCCTCTGTTCACCTCCGCTCACCAAGGCTACCATTATTATTTATTAGTAATAAAATATGAGTAGTATAAAAACTTGATTGTTTTATTTATTGAGTGTCAACTTTCTAAAATTTAGTACCTACCTAGTGTAAATAAATAATAATTGATTTTCTTAAATTATTATTATTTTTTTTTCATATATTACTTTAATAAGTTAATAACAGATAATATATTTTGTTTTAATAATGTACAATCAATTTCAAACAAAAAGCATTTATTTTGATCAACAAATATTTAATTTAATTAACCCATCAGTGATCTCTATGTTTTTGATAACACTGTTAGTCATGTACTCACATTTAAGTGTTGTGCTCAGTATAGTTGTTTTTAGCAATTTCACTAATGGTTTTTACAGTAGATCATAATTTTAAGATTATAAAGGTTGATATGATATAAAGGTGTAATAAAGATACTTCCTTAATGGTTTTGTTATGGTAAAAACTAGTGATGGGTCGAACTGTCCGAATCTCGAACTGAACCAATGAGTTCGAACTTGGTATGAAAAAAAATTTGAACAAACTATCAAGCATCGTTTACTGTCCGAATATCGGTCTTCTAATATTTCAATTTGTCAAACAAGATTGTTCAAAGACAAACTCCCTTTACTGTAGTAGTTATGTCCTGCTTTCGTCAAAGCTGTTGTTGCTATTTTCTTTTTGTCCGATGTGTTTGCAATTTTTGATGATCCGAACGCGTCAAAAATAATGATCAGGCTAACGATATGCTACCCAAACACATGTACTTGTGAATTTCAAAAGTTATTGTTTGTCATGTTAAGACGAAGATGGTAAAGTCTTGGAATTGTTAAGTTTAAATACAAGTTCGACGGCCAAGACAAATGATTACTAGACTGCAATAATTCTGGGTATATTTCGCTTTACCGGGCCCCTATTTTTTAAACTTATTGTCGTAAGTACACTGTGAACGATGGTGAAGTCGGAATTAGTTTTGAAGTTATGGCCTAATGCGTTCACAATTTCTCTGATTTTACGCCATTCCGCATCATACTCGTTTACTACGCTATTTCGAATATTGATATTATTTTTTTTGATGATGATTCCAAGTGTACTTGTGACCTACTGGAGGCAAGGTGTAAGGCAAAGTCTATTGATATTTTAGATTATCGGGGAGCGAATCGACAGTGCTGAGTGTTGCAAAACGTGTATTCACTGCCCATAGTGCGACATAACCATGCAGGCAATAAACGTATTTTAAAAACAATATTTTTGAAAACCTAAGTTCACCCAAGGTGAATACGTGAAAATCGCAAAATTGTGAACTTCATTAGGCCATAATTTCAAAACTAAGTCCATGCTCCAAATTCCGACTTCACTATTGTTTTCAGCTTACTTAACTGCATAAGTTTAAAAAAAATTGCAAAAAAAAAGGGTGCCCGGTAAAGTAGAAGAGTTCCAATTTCTGAATGTATTCTTTGTTTAATAATTCTCTGAGTAATTCTGTATGAATTACCAATAAGCTATGGCCGATGACTAGGTAAAGCTAGGTTTACAAGTTAATGCTAGGATTTACTAATCTTACTCAGTTTAAACTGAAAAGCATAATTGTATTCGAGGTCTTAACAAATGAGTTGTGACCTAGTATGTAGGAAAATAAATCATGACAGAAAAATCTGATTGATCCATAGTAGAAAATGAATATGCTTTTTTACTAATAATTAAAAATTATAAACCAAGTTATTCACTAAATTTAATTATACATTGTTAAAAAGATTACTGAAATATAAAATCAATTGACCTGTTTTTTGCCTATGACACCTTCACAAATGTTACATACCTAACTGGCATTGATTTCTTTTATTGTTATATTGTTATTTTCAATTGCAAATGTATGCATTGTTTCTGAGCACAATATGAGTGTTTCTTTCCCTCTGTTCACCTCCGCTCACCAAGGCTACCATTATTATTTATTAGTAATAAAATATGAGTAGTATAAAAACTTGATTGTTTTATTTATTGAGTGTCAACTTTCTAAAATTTAGTACCTACCTAGTGTAAATAAATAATAATTGATTTTCTTAAATTATTATTATTTTTTTTTCATATATTACTTTAATAAGTTAATAACAGATAATATATTTTGTTTTAATAATGTACAATCAATTTCAAACAAAAAGCATTTATTTTGATCAACAAATATTTAATTTAATTAACCCATCAGTGATCTCTATGTTTTTGATAACACTGTTAGTCATGTACTCACATTTAAGTGTTGTGCTCAGTATAGTTGTTTTTAGCAATTTCACTAATGGTTTTTACAGTAGATCATAATTTTAAGATTATAAAGGTTGATATGATATAAAGGTGTAATAAAGATACTTCCTTAATGGTTTTGTTATGGTAAAAACTAGTGATGGGTCGAACTGTCCGAATCTCGAACTGAACCAATGATGTTCGAAACTTGGTATGAAAAAAATTTGAACAAACTATCAAGCATCGTTTACTGTCCGAATATCGGTCTTCTAATATTTCAATTTGTCAAACAAGATTGTTCAAAGACCAAATATATGTTAAATTCTTTAAATTCTTTTAAAAAATGTATCATCACTATTTACTATTTAGAAATAATTAGAATATTAGAGTACCTACATTAATTACTAATATAATTTTATCATATTTATTATAACTGGAAAAATCTGGTTTGGTTTGGGTTCGAAAAAATAATTTAAAGTTTGATTTGTTTTAAAACATCAGGGTTTGATTAGTAAAAGCATCTTATTTTATTTTTATTTGTATTATGAAGACTGAAGAGAAACTAACTTCTAATGTATGATTCTACAATCTATGCAGTGATAGTTTTTGCTATCCGTTTTTATGTATGGTACAATAACAATAACCATTAAAGTAAGGTTAAAATAATAGCAATAATTGTGGCGATAGCCGCTAAGTTCCTTGTAGCTTAATGACTGTTCTTCGATAGAAAGCCAAAGAATTCATAAAGTCATATCATTTAATCTAATTTATTTAAGGAAATATATAGATCAAAGTTTTTAATAGTTTCAGATGAACTAGATGAGAAACTAAACAGTAGTGTCTTAAATATAAGCACGGCACTCACATCGCAAGTATATAACTTGGTTTTTAATTTTAAATGATTAGTATATAAAAATCAGTTATGGATTAATCAGATTTTACTGACATGGTTTTTTATACCCAAATGTTGTATAAAACGTTTATAGTAAAATCCCGAATAAAATTAAGCTTTTCAGCTTTTATTAAATAGAATTGGTAAATCCTAGCATTAATTTAAAGCATAGCTTATATCTAATGATTGGGCTTTATTGGTAATATATATAATCATTTATAATAGTATTGTATAGCCATATAGGTTTTGAATACTTATAATGATGAATAAAGATAATTACAGTAGAACTCCGATTATCTGGACTAATTAATGTCAAGGGTGGTCCGGATAAGCAAATATCCGGATGATTGACATATGACATTTTAAAAGTTATTTAGGGACATTGTAACACGATTATTTATAATTCACTCGTTATAATAATATAACAATTGGCAGACTAAACTGTGCTACGATTAGACAACAACTGACCATTGGGGGGTGCATAGAGGACTTTTGCACTCTCGAGTTAAAATTGTGCACCTCCAAAATATAAAAGACTTAATCTACAATATTTTAATTATTTTGAAAATATAATCAATAAATACAAAAATGTTGTAAGTGGGTACTTCACTATTATGTTCCAACATTCCCAGCTATAACAGTATAACATAATATTATGAAATAATCTTTAGCTTAGGACCTTTTTTTTTCGTTATTGCGTCCGTTTGAATGGCGTTCGGATAATCAAAGTTCTACTGTATTTGAAATTTTAACTTAATCTTATCTTTGCTTAGTATTACAATGTATATAGAGTATAGACAGTGGATATTGATATATTAATATTATCATACATAATTTTTTTTCTAATTTAACATCTTAGCCTTTTTTATATTCAAAGAAATATTTTCTATAGTAAATACAATTTTTAATTCCCAAAAAAATCAATCTATTTTATCAAATGTATTACCAATTACTGAGCTAATTACCTAAATTGCTTTTTTTTTTTCACCTAAAAGTGTCGGTGCCAATTTTCTGCAATTATATAAAATGTTAAAATTATATTTTATAAGTTAGTTCATAGTTGCTACTTTCATTATATTACTTTTCAACTAATCTACTGCCCGATACCTATTTAGGGGGTTGATAGGTATTTTATATAAACAAAAATTACTTTACAGGAAAAACTCATGTCTCATTGATATGTAGAATTTTGATAATTTTTTCATTTAAAAAATCAGAACTTTTTTCAGGTCAGATTTTTTTTTTTACTTTAAGTTGTGATATAAAAATACGTTTGAAAAATACCAAATATTATACATTATTTAAATGCATAATTTTGCTTCAATAATTATAATTTTGATTTCTTAAAATTGGGTTTTGATTCGACCTGAAAATGTTCTCTTCAATAAAATTAACAAAATTAACAAAATCCGACTATTTTACAGGACGTCAAGAGTTTTTTCCAAAGTTGTGGAAGACTTTTTTTTGTATAAAAAACACACCACCTCCAACGCCCTTAAGAGCTGCTACTAATTTCTTACAATTGAAGAAGTAATTCTATTTTACTCAATATTTTACTGCATATAAATTATTCTTATACATATAATAAAATATAATCTAATAATTATTTTGCAGGTTTTGAAATATTCAATTCAGACATTTCAATCAAATAATACACAATGTCAATTAAGGATGTACGTTTTGGTTTCAATTTTCTTACAGATACAAATATCAAGGCATGTATGGATTCTGTAAAAGAATTGGAACTCACTTTTGCCTGTTTACCTGTGTCAAGTCTTAGGTTAAAATCTAATTCTAAAGTATTAGATCCATCTAGTACCGTCATGAATCCTGAGTTTTGCCAAAAGTGGTGTCATTGTGTTGTTGCAAGCATTTCTCAACCTAATGTTGATTCGGAAATTGAAAGTACCAGACTAGAAAATCAAAAATCTTTTACACAAGACATTTCATGGGCTTCATTTTTAAATGTGTATTGCATTATGTTTGAGTTACCACTACATGGAGATGTTGTAAATTTGGTTAGATTGCTAGACAATCAAATTGATATATATATCAATTCTGCTGTATTAATACAGTTTTGGGCATTAGTACCAATAGTCAACTTAAAAACAGACCCTTGGAAAAAATGGACTAAATTCATATCATCAATAAGAAATGTAAATAGAATAAAATTAGCATTGGAAATTGGGCCTGAGCTACCTAGTGACGAAGAACTTGACCGTTGGTTAGGAGAGCCAGTTGCAGCTTTGATAATACAGTCTAAAATATTTATGACCAATAAAAAAGGTTATCCAGTGTTATCTAAGCCTCATCAAGAATTTATCAAAAAAATGTTCAATATAGGCTGTCAAATTGTAATATCTGGACAGTTAGGTATTAAACAACAATTCAACTACTTAGGCCATCTATACCAAAATACTACATCATTAACCCCTTATAGTTCTGACTTTATAAGCGGCTTTGAAGATTATCTTCAGACACCATTACAACCATTGAAACATAATTTGCAGTCGTATGTTTATGAGACATTTGAGCAAGATCCTATCAAGTATTATGAGTATCAAAGAGCAATATCAAAAGCTTTAATTGATAAATATGAAGATAAAGTACTTGTTGTTTATGTTGTTGGCGCTGGTCGTGGTCCATTAGTAGATGCTACTTTTGAAGCAGCTAAGGAATCAAATATTAAAGTCAAAATAAGTGCCATTGAGAAAAATGAAAATGCTTTACCATCATTATTCTTAAAAAATAAAGAAAAATGGGAAAATCGTGTTACTATTATTAATAAGGATATGCGGTTATGGAATCCATCAGAAAAATGTGATATTTTAGTATCAGAGCTATTGGGGTCTTTTGGTGATAATGAATTATCTCCAGAGTGTTTAGATGGAGCTCAAAATTATTTGAAAAAAGATGGAATCAGTATACCTTCAAGTTATACTTCTTATCTAGGACCAATACAATCACGTAAATTGCATGCAGAAATATCGTCCATTAAGAGAAATAATGATAATTGTAACTTTCAAAAACCTTATGTAGTACAATTAAACAATGTCTATTCTATAGCTCCACCAAAAGCCCTTTTTACATTTGTTCACCCAAAAAAAAATTTAGAAGAGAGTAATAACAGAGATGGGTTTTTGAAATTCAATATCTCCCAAGATTGCGTTTTGCATGGATTTGCTGGTTACTTTGAAACTGTACTTTATAAAGACGTACGTCTTAGCATTGTTCCAGAATCATTTAGTGATGGCATGTTCAGTTGGTTTCCTGCTTACTTTCCTCTAATAAAACCAATATTACTTGATAAAGGAGAAGAAATTCAAATCAATTTTTGGCGGTGCAGTGACAAGTTCAAAGTGTGGTATGAATGGTGTATGACAAAACCGTATCAGAGCATTATACACAATATAAAGGGAGAAATGTATTTTATGTCACTCTAACTAATTTTGTTTACTTTGAATTGTCAGTGTTTATTTTGTAATAACTGAAATATATTTTTTTTTATTCTAATATATTATCAAATCACAAGGTTTTTAAAATATTTTTGACGACTAATACAAATTTGAATATTTATTATTTATGTTAAAGAAGCTGCCAAATGATTAATGATAATGAAAATTTTGTCAAATTTAATCACTAAAATTTTATTTTGTATACTTTTTTTTTTATATATACTTTATAATATATTATTTTTTTCAATGATTGTATGTGTTTAAATAGTCTTTATTTTTAGAATATTAACACTATTAACTTTAATATTATTATTGTATTTTACCAATTTTCTTTTTTAAAACATTTAAAATAAATGTGTACAGCCTTAACTTTTCATTATATTATTTTTAGTACATACATTGAAAAGAGTTATATCTACATATATGTAAATCAGGCATATCAAACACGCGGGTCCGCTGCAAATTTTTTTTATGATCCATGATTACTTTAATTAATTATAATAAATTAATTAGAATAAAAATGTATACAATTTTCATTTTGTGTCACAATTATGTTAAAGTCTTAGAAATAGCTTCGTCCAATAAGATTTCACCCAAAATAGAAAAGTTAGTGGCAGAAAATAGAGATGTCAAATATTGCAAACTTCAAAAAGCAATTAAAAATTTGATTTTTTTTTTGTAATTTAAATCATAAATATTAAATCAATTTTTTTATAACTGAATTAATAATAAATGTTAATGAATTCAATTGTACCGGTTGTGTTTGTAATGAATAAAATTAAAAATTTGTATAAAATAATTATTATTTTGTTACATTTTTATGCTCGTCTGTCGGCTGCATAGTAAACTATTCAATATTTTTGGCTAATACTTTGAGTTGGCCATGCCTAATGTAAATTGTGGGTATACTAATTAAATACACTGTTGCTGAAAATTGTTACTGTAGTAATGTGTGACTGCACAATAGGTAACAATATAAAACAAAGCTATTTGTTGTCATAAAATGCTGAAGCACCTGTTTAATAGTAAAAATATTTATAATAAAAATGTATTTAAATTATTTTGTATATTTATATTTAATTGTATAAGTAACCAAACATTACACAAATAAAGCTGTATTGAACTATAATTACCGTTAAACATACATGATTTATTTTTTAAATAAAATAATGTAAAAATTACCTATTTTTAGTATGAAATATTAAAATATGATATTAATAATAATAATAGTTAACATATAAAAGGCAATTGAATGTACATATTGTACTATAAATAAAATATAATATCTTAAGATTTAAATAACTAGAATCAGAAAAATAAGTTGAACATAGTATAATATATAGTATAATAACTCAAAAAGAATGTACATAGTAACTAGGTACATATTTAAGTGTTTTACATTTTTAACATTACATCGATCACCATATGGAATCTATGGCATATTAAATTACTATGAATTAAAATTTTAAAAATCTTTTAGATCATTACAAATATCTTCCAAAAACATAGTTAATCCTTGTAATTCAATGATTTGTTGCTGTTTTCTTTTTTCAATTCTCTCATAATATTTGTTATTATATTTGATCTGTAATAAGAAATAAAATAACTATTATAAATTTAAGGAAAATAATGTCATGTAACATATCTATAATTTAAGTAATCTTACCATTTTTTCTACTAAGCTTATTAAGTAAAATATTGATGGAAAATCGGTTTCAATATTATTATGATGACACTGATTTAGAATCTGAAAAATGTTTTGATTTTATTTGGTGATAAAATATTTGTTTTAACTTATGAAACATTGAAGTCTTACATTATTCTGGGGTTTACATTTTAAAGCGCTTATTTCTTTAGTGGTAGTGTTGTTACTATTTGAATTCGACTGTAATACAAATTACACAAAACAAGGTATTAACTATATTTTTAAGCACATTCAAAATGAATCATACATTAGTCCAGAAATAAGGATTATAAATTAAATTAATATAGATTTTACCTAGGTAATTACCTACCTAATTAATTTTTAATTTGAATTATGTAACTAGGAGTGGTATTATGGAAAATATTGTCTTTCAGTAAAATAAAAATAATAAGTTCTGAATTATAATTACAATTGTATAAGTAGTGATAAATTTATTACAATAATAAAACCAGCTTTACAATAATTGTACAACATAGACAACAATGATATTTTACTGAAAAAAATGGTAACCTAATCTTAAAATTATAACAATGTCTTCTATGGAAACGCATTAATTTACAAAAAAATAATATAAATATTTTCTAAAAACTTATTAAAAACTAATAAAAAAAAGTTGTAATAAAAATTGACATAGAATTTTTTAAATAATTTACATTTGTAATAAAAACCATTATGATCAAAAAATTCAAACGTTCTATCAGCCTATATTTCTAAGTATATTTTATTGTGTCATATAATGCTACAACTGTCACACTATGATATTTTATGTTTTATTTTTTAAATTGCTATTAGGTTTATTAACTTATATTACTATTAGTAGGTACCTTACTCAATATGGTATAGGTGTAGGTTGAATTAAATTTTGATGAATACAATGTACCTATTTATTATATTTATTAATTTATTATATATTTATATGTTACAGTTATTATTACAGGCTACAGCTATCATATACTATTGCTATCAACTTCATGGCTGGTGTTATAAATATAAAATATGCAATAGGTAGCTTATAACTATTAATCTAAATGTTTTGAAAATGTAATTGTGTTAATAAAATATGATAATATTCATAAAAGTTTCAAGTATAAATATATTTGAAGGCATTAAAATAATTAAAATAATTGTTACCTATTCTTCGTTTAAATTTCTAATTTCGTATAAATTTAAATATCAAATAGGTTAGCCTAACTATAAAGAAAAATTGTTCAAATTATTATAAGAATTTTTTGTTTCAGTGTGAATGAAAATGACCCACCTATAATTGGTATATGACGAATCTAGTATTAAATGTTCCAAGCCTTAGTCATAAAAATTGAAAATTTCATAAATTTTGAACTTCAGAATAATTTGTATCTACATTTTCGTAATTTTAAAAAATGTAGTCAAAATAGGTACTTATAAAAAAAACTGTGCCTACCTATGTATTTTTAAACACCTCTAATAACAACTAATCTCCTAGATATCACATTTTTAAGATATTGATAATATTTATAGAAAAAATCTAAAAGATCCCTAAAACGTCTAATATATATATTAGCTGAAAAAGCATAAAATATTAAGAAAATTAAAACACGTAGGTATAGAAAATGCTGTGTACCTATGTACCTACTGTACATAATTTATAGTAGAAAAAATGCTGAAAGTAGGTACTTACATTTCTTATAGAATGGGAAAATCAAAAAAGAATAATGGTTTTACGCAAAACCAGTTTTTGACAAACTTGGTTTAGTTATTTTGATACAATTGTTAAAAATGGAACTTACATTCACAATAATTTTTAAGGGGCTCCAGCGTTTCATGTTTTAAGGAGTAATATTTATGCAATTCACATGACATGAATATTTGAACATTAATTCATGTCAATACTACGCGAAAATGTAATATATTATTGTTAGCATAACTATAAAAACTACTAAAATTGGTAATAAATTAAACATATTTCCTGAAGTTTGATTATAATTTCGAAAAAAATGGTTGAATTTATAAGCTTCTAGACTATATGCTCTTTAGTAATCACATTTTTAAAAACAGATGTGCCCAAAATAAATACAAATGTAATGCAATTATTTCATAGAATTTTTTTTAAAAAAATCTTAATTTTAAGGGCCTTTCAAATTTAAAATGTAACTTATACTGCTTTAAAACGTATGAAAAATAAGTGTGCTGCGATTCCCTTTAATGAGCGTTTGAGATATTTTAAAGTTCAAATTTGAACGAAATTAGATATATTTCAAAACGAAGTATAAAGTAAAGAATTAAACTTCAAATTAATATAAATTTTTTCATTTTACAGTATGACGTATTGCTTATCGTAAAATAAATATTACTAGGTAGTATATACAGTGCCGGCGCGAGGGGTGTGCACTGTGCATAAAGTGCAATCGCACAGGGCCTCGCACTTTTGGAACGGCTCTAGGGCCTCGCGATTATATGGCCTATAGCCTAGGGGTACCTATCAAAATGTTAAAGTAATATAAAACGTTGATATTATAATATTATATTTATTGTAACTCATAAAATCGTCTAAAGTGAATATTGGGTACGGCCATGAAATTTGAATTTTTTGTTGTGTTATATTATAATTTATAATCATTTATTTAATTATTTACAAACGCACGGTTGACCGACAACGTAGTCAAAATAAACTTGAAGTTATTATTATAGAGTCTATAATATAGACGTACCCGTGGGTTGTGACTGGTTGATAATAATAGAATAGTTCATAAGTCTTAATAATATTAATCTATAATTAGATTTTCCAATAATATTAACTATTAAAATCCTTCTAATTTAGTATAACATATATGATAATGTTATGATAGTTTGATATCATTTCTTTTTCCTGTGAATGGTAGAATTATGTGATCATTATTTTATTATTTGTACGAATGCTTGACAGTCGACAGACGACTGTTGTTTTCGTTGTTGACGTTGCTGTATTCATATTTAAGTGTTGACAACTAAGAAACATTGGTGTGTCTTATTTAATAGATAATAATAAAATATAATTTACGAATTAATAAATAAATATTACCTTCAGTGCATCATTAAATACTGTAATATAGTATATAGTGTTAAAATAAGAAGACAAGAAGAAATAAATAAAAATAATGTTTGTAATTTTGTTTATAAAAATTCTAAGTATGCTGCCGTCCTAAGAAAAAACTCCGTGATTTCCCTCCATGCCATTTTGAGGAAAATTACATTTTATGTTTAGTAGTTTTTGGTTGTTTTATTTTCATGAATATAATATTTTTCAAAGTAAAATACATAATTGCCTATGGAAATATACCTGATGAATACAATGGAACTATTCAATTTTATTTTCAATTTTTCTTTTACCAAGATAGCATTGTTTTGATATTTATACTAAGTAAGCTAGGTATTAATTATTCAGAATATTTTACTGAATTTTACTGATATTTTGCTAAGCACCGATTATATTTTATTACTATTGCGGCAATATTGTAAAACATGTTAAGCTATAATAATAAACGTAATACAGTATTATATCTTTAATTTTTTTTCCGATTTACGGGTTTTTTTTCTTAGAACGAACCTATTGGTTATGACTGTCGTTATGACGTCCGATTACCCAATTGCTAAAAGTGAAACATTGTCATTGTTGAATGAAGTTGGAAGTTTTGAATTTTTATTAAGTCTGATTATTTGGTATGAACTACTTACAGAAGTAAATATTGTAAGTAAGAATTTTCAAAATCCTAATATGCAATTAGATGTTTTAAGTAACATGCTTAAAGGTCTTATTGTATTTCTTGAAAAATACCGAGACAATGGATTTGAAAAAGCAATGGAAACTGCCAAACAACTAGCAATTGCTATTGAGATTGAACCTACATTTAATGAAGTACGTTACAGAAAATAGAAAAGATGTTTTAGTTATGAAAGTGTTGATGAAACCCTTCAAGATCCACAGCAAAATTTTCGCACTCAATATTTTTTAGTTATTTTGGATTCAGCGATTATGTCAAATGTCAATGTCAAAGCGATTTAGCCAAATAAATAATTTTAATTCCAATTTTGGATTTTTGTATGATATAAGCAAGTTATAAAAACTATGCCTGACGAAGAAATTCGAAAACATCGCCAAGATCTTCAAATAATTTTAACAGATGGCGAAGATAAAGATATAGATGCTATTGATTTATTTGAAGAACTTCTCATTCTTCGAGAGATGGTTGATAATAATATGACAGCTATACAGACATTGACATTGGTTAAAAAGTCATTGGGTTCATTTTCAAACGTTGAAGTTGCTCTACGAATTTTATTAACAATTCCGATAGCTTCAGCAGGAGCAGAAAGAAGCTTTTCAAAATTAAAATTAATAAAACATTTTCTAAGAAATAGTTTGTCACAATTCAAATTAGCTGGTTTAGCATTAATCGACATAGAAAGTGAAATAGGGGACAGTTTAAGCTTAGAAAATATTCTAGATACTTTTGCAGCACAGAAAGCTAGAAAAAAAATGTTTTAATTTAAACGATTATTATTTAATCACCCTTATTGGCTATTTTAATTTGTATTTTATACTTATTGTTTTATGTTTTTTAATATGCTTAATTTTAGTATTTTTTTTATCTTTAATTCAATAACCTATAGCTCTGACTATGTTATATATATCAATTATTTTATAATAACTATTGACAGTGATGAAAATATAAAATATTTAATAAAAATTAAAATTAATATATATTGATTTAGACTTTATACGTTATTTATAGTACATAACACTACCACTTACCGTACGTATGTCTACAGACGGGCATCGTTTTAGGATCGTTTTCGTGGCATGATTGATCATTGAATAACAATTTAACAGATACATTGCACTATTGCAGTGACTAACTCAATGGTGATATGCACTCGACACATATTGTGCAGCAGAGTGGTTACCTAATTTTTTTTGTTCTTTTTACTGTTATTTTGAAAAGTCTGGAATTTTTGACTTTGACCTTCCAGATGTATAAACTAGGATATTAGATTCACGTTTTTATCAGAAAATTCAAAATATATAAAAGTTGAGAATTTAAGCAAATTTTCAATCAAATCCACTCTGAAAATCTAAGCAGTTTTCTGTTACAAAGGTGATGGCAGATGCAAAAAAAAAACACACATCATTTTTATGTCTTTGTAACATGACATACCTATTTGAATGTTATAGGTATACGTAATGACGTTTCTTTAAAAATACGTATTTACAGTGGATATTTGATTAGTGGTACATTTTACACGTGATATTCAAATTATATTTATGTCTGCTATAAGTTATTTGTCTTTAAATTATAAGCTTAAAAAACAAGTTTTTAAAATATACAGAATATATTTTAATAAATATATTGAGTATTGTCATAATTAAAAAAAGAAAATAAATAGAAGATTTTTCTTAATAATAATTGGCTACCTATTCAAATGGATTTTGTTTTAAAAATTCTTTTTTTTTGGTTTAAAGTATCTACATTATAAACAACACAAAAATTCATAACAAATGAAAAATATATGTAAATAAATATTATTATGATTTTTGTACTTTACCTCGAGCATTATCCACTTGTATTCTGGAATATATTCTGCGTTGAATATCACCATTTTAGTATTCCGTTTTGTTGAATCTATTTAATATGTAAAAATTGTAAAAATAATTTCTTTATTGTACAGAGTTATTAAATCCTATTGATTGTCCTCACCTTTTAAAGTGTGATTCACTAACATAGAGAAACGAATAAGCAGTCAGATACAATAATATTTGTTAAAAATTAAAATTTTATTATGCGAAGGTATGATGTGCGTATGGGTTTCTACCTATATCTCACAGCGTTTTTGTCATTTGGTTTTTGATATGTTCTCAAAGACACAAGTAAACGAACTGTAGACACCGTAGAACGGTTTTAAAATAACTATTATATACTATTTGGTGAGAAATACAGATCTATTATTAAACCTCCATGAAGCCCAACCCTTCTTACATTGCAACTTTATTTCTCCAGTTGGCTTCTAAACTATAGGAAAAATTATTACATAGGCCGCTCACATAGCGTTTATAAATATACTTAGCAACACCTACCTATATGGTCTGTACGGAAGGATTTTAGGCATCCCAATTAATTTGTATGTATAGTTATGACACGGGCTTGTTCCATTTGTCCCTTATATTAATTATTTCAATCAACTGTCTCCAATGAAATTGAAAATAATATCCCGAAATATGGCTGTAACGCCGTTATAATTTAAAACAACATTTATATATAATACAATTTAACTAAGTTGTTACCTACCCACATGGGATTAAGTCAAAAGCTAGGCTATATTTTTATAATTGTATGTTCACAGTTATATTAAGATCAGGGCTTGCATTTGAAAAAGAAATTCCGTTTTGTGTTATTTACAATTAAAACGTTACACAATTTTTGCGTTTATCATTATTTAAAATTAAAACGTTATACAAGTCTTGCGTTTATCTTAATTCAGAGTTAAAATATCATACAAATTTTTGTGTTTATCGTTATTTAGAATAGTTCCCATTAAATGTATTAATAATAACCAAGGCGGGAGGGTAATGGCCCGGATAAGGAATACAATATATTATATTATATTATAATCAATTCTAATGTCCGTATGCATGAAATAAATATTTCTACGAAACCAATATAACTTTTAAATAAATGGATTTTAAATAATTTCGTTTTGCGTTATTTTTCGTTCAATGAAATTCTATAAATTACGTTTTGAGTTAAGTTTTACTTAATGATATATAATATATTTTGTTAATAGTTATGTTTTGTTTTGCGGTATTTTATTGTTTTTGATTATCGATTTCCTTTATAATTACGTTTACAAATTGCAATCATTTTTTTGTCAAATATAACCTTTATAACCATACAGTGGCATTCTCAGGAATTTTCTGTGGGGGGGGGGGGTCTGAAAATGTACTTGAATTCAATAGTGGTCTGCCCCCACACCCCCGTAGTCATAATATTTACAAATTTTGTGTTATTATGTATTTATGTATTTTACCATTTTAGTAGATAGTACTGTATTTGGTATATCATATATGAATATCAAAAGTAAAATAATACAACCAAAAACTAAGCTTTTTAACATTCATACTCTAATAATCATTATATAAAACCATAATAATTTAACAAACATTTCAAAACACAATACTTTCAAGTTTCAGTCCATGATCTCTATCCATTCTCTTTACCGTTTTACACTACTAACCACTTCTGTAACTGGTCAATTTATAGGATAGTGTGCATTGCCAACAAGAATAAATCTTTTCCTTTATAAAAATAGTTTTTTATTAACCTGTACATTTTTGATTTGTATACTAATTGTTATACTTATAATATAAACTTATATGTACATGGACCCGCAGCCTGTTTTCGCGGCCCGCGACGTTTCTTTAAAATATTTATTTAAATTACTTCATTTTGAATGAGATATGTCACTATTAGCTAAGTTAATAGTTATAATAGTTATCCATATTTTTATTTAAAATTTCAAACATTATAGGTGCGATACAATATTGTAAGAAAGTAATATTAACAGTAACCCTCATAACTTTTCCGTCTATAATATAGTTATATAATATTTTCTGTGAATATGCAATATAATAATTATTATTTACTAATTAATATATTTAATATTTCGGATTCTCTTTTAATAAAATTAATTTTGTGAAAAAAATACGGTCGATGGGTCAAACCCCATGACCCCCCCTCCCCGTGAGTACGCCACTGGTTAAATAACTTATATTATATTGTTATTCTTATCAGTGATAAATAATAATATTATTTTTGGCTGGGGGAATCAATAATCACGATAAAGAAAAATAGCAAAAAATAATAACTAGTCAATATTTAGCTATATATTTAACAGGAATAGAATATAATGTATAATTAGAAAATAAACACTAAGACACAATTTTTTTTATCTTTTTTGTATAATAGGTATATTATGTAGTTTAATAGTTGTTCCAGTTCAGTCAACAGTTCTAGCTTTTAACGAAAAAAAGAATGTAATATTTAAGGACCACAATGTTCAAAAAATTGTAATTAAATTTAGACCCAAAGTAGGTACCACATTTTAGATCGTATTGTATTATTTACTAAATGTTTTATTAATTCACATATTATTATATTAAACATATAATTTGTAATGCATACCTGATACCTATTAATTAACTAACTAGGTATAATTTATGTACTTTACTACTTTAGGCTGTAGCTATCGTATGACTTATATGTATTTAAATTTTATACTGTACAGTGTATAGTATACCTACTCATTACTTCTTTGAGGTATTTAAAATAATAAATAAATAATATATATATTATAATTTATAAGTAATTCTCAAATGGCTCTTCAATGAAAATGATCAGAATCATCTAATGCTTTTCGCTGTTAAATAGTTATTGCATGGGTACCTATACAATTTTGTTATCATAATATTATAACCTAGCCAATTATAGTAACATCTATAGGAAAAGCTCTAAAAATGCATGTAGATATAAGGCATAATAACTATAAATAGAAAAAACTTATAATAAGTAAATTGTTAAATAGCTAATCTTATTAAATAATATTTAAATGTATAATTTGCGTAAATGTCTTAATAAAAACGTTCAGTGTGTTTTTAATTTTAGGTGTCTACGACTATACATAACATAGGTAACTATAAATGTATGTAAAAAATATTTAGTATACAGAAACTTCGAGATACCGTTGTTCGAGATATCCAGGTTCCACTGTACATGTTAATTGTGATCATCTGAGTTTGAATTTGTCATACGAAGCTGCAGAGCCGCAGAGGTACCTACTACCTACCATACAGAAATACTATAATAATTAATAGTTTGTTTT